CTCGACCTTATACAGGAAATCTTCATTAATTTGAACTCCGATAGTTCAAAATCACATTAATTCGTAACTGTACTAGCTGAGGATATAGAGATTTACATGTTAAGGAATTTAGTTAGTTCAAAATACAGCTGCTTTGAAATTTGAAGTGAAAATTTTGTCCAAACTGTGATTTGCATGTGTTGACTCATTCACATAGATCAAAGTGCCTCCATACTATAAGAGAACAATAGGCCAAGAACAACTCTAACCTGGTCAATTTAGCTTTGATTTCACAGTAATAGATTTTTGGTGTCACCTTATATATGGACTATTCATTTTTCTCTTATCTCATAAAATATTGCTGGGTTTCAGTATTGCAAGATTGGGCTACAAGTAGCAGATTGAGATATTTGTAGGACTCTAGGCTACTACATTTGGTTTTATATAGTCCCTGCTGTACTTCACTCCTACATGCTATTGTGGTGTTTGTAAAAGTGAGATAGTACGGTCCGCAAATGAAATGTACAGAAAGGAAACTGTGACAAAATTCAACAATATACACTATCCCTTTATTTCACTTTGAACAAATAAGGTTTTATAAAGAATTTCAACTGACTTGTAATATTTTACAATCTGAGGTGTCTTAAACAGGGACCTTTGTTCCCCAACAAAGCACGATGGTATATTTCCCTGAGCGCGTAACAATTAAACAAAAATTCTTTCTTTATAACCTCGTGACTAAAACTAACTTAATCCTAACTTAAATATAACTTACCACTAAGGAAATAAGAAGGAAGATAGGATAGTTGGAAGTTAGCAGAAATGAAGGGATGATTCACCTGGGGTTTCTCTTTCCTCGGTTGATATGCGCTTTGGGTAGGGTCTTGGCTCAACGAAAATGGCTCTTATCTTTACTATCCTTCCTTCTCTTTTACTTATTGAAATTTTTAAATGTGCCAGTCTCTGTCTGTAAGCGTGAAGATTCCACTTCCTCTGATTCTCGACCTACTTAGAGGTGTCCCTAAGCCTCTTAGTAGAACATCTCTACTTCTCAATCTCTCACTGGACTATCTCAAACTTCTGTCCTCTCTACAAAATCATGCTCGGAGTTTCGTTTGACACATCTGACTCTCTCTGTGTCTGGTCCAAAAAGTGACTTGTCTCTGTGTCACCTGCTATTGTCATTACCGATTCTCTGAAGGCTAATCCTATGCAAAGGCGATAACAGTCGTCTTGGAAGGTTTTAGAAAGGATAGACAAAGGGAGTAAAGGAAATTGTGAGAATAAAATAGAAATATAACTATATACAATTACAAATACATATATACAATATGGCCACACTATTCCCTACTATAATCTGATATCATCTCTCATGTGACCTGTTTCATTACATTACATTACATTACATTACATTGTGTACAAACAATCAAAAAACTCAAAGTCGGACAGACAAAGTTGACTTGGCTGACCCAATGTTTTGTTGGACAGCAATGATAAATTTTGAACTAATGGGGATTTCCTATATATATTTTTTGAAACAGTGCAACAATGTTGCATATTTTTGATTTATTTTAATTTATTCAAGTGCCGACACAATTCAAAAGTGAGAAGTCGAGAAAGACCGCAGCAAAAATTCAGTTAATGAAGATGAAACTGAATGCTTTCGGAAATAACAACTTGCCCCTTTCAGAACGAGCCTATTTCAAAATTCATTTTCCAAAGAAGTATAACTCTACAGAAAAAGATTATTTTTTTAATAAGGTAAGTTTAAGGTAAGTTTAAAGTAAGCATATCAGTAATATTGACAGTTTGAAAATGGAATTATTTCATTTGCAGTGTTGGTCAGTTGGAAAGATTATAGATACTATAGCAGAATTAGAAAATTTTAAAAATGAAAATGATACAGCAACAAATGAGGTAAATTTAAATATAACCTATTAATATTAACTGATATAAAATTATCCAATAATAACTTAATATCTGTGTTATAGTTGACTACAGTGTCTTCATATATAGTGTATACAGTGTCTTCATAGTGTATTGTACCATATATGATATAATAAGAGAGACAAACAGCCTATATTATGATAAAATGTAACAGACAATAATAAAATAAAATCATTAATAATAAACAAAACTTACACATTATTGGAGCTTCTATTAATAATATATGCAGTCTTCAACCGTAATACTTTTGGGTCTTTATCTTCACAGATTAAACTTTTCACTTATTGAAATTTAACATTCTAATGGTATTATAAATAAATAACTTAAGCATAAATCTAATTTAAAACAGCCTATTAGTAAAAGTAACTTGTAATATTAATGAATTTTCAGTATAAAGTTTTTATAAATAATTGTGCTAAATTCCTATATTTTATGTAGGGCACTTCAAAATTACTTGGACAAACTTGGTAACAGGTTACAATTGAAAATACATATAGTTTTACATGTACAGTACTTTATTAGCATTATAGACAATTATTACTAGATGAAACCTATAATAAATTTTCAAAATGTCTTCCATGTGAGTGTATGCATGCATTTATTCATTGAATCGTGGACTATGGACTATTGTACTTGTTCTAAGGTCCCAAGCTGTTCATGAATGATTTCAAAGGCATCCAAAGTATGTTGTTCTAGAATTGCTAAATCATCAATTTTAGATGTCCCCACAGATAAAAATCCATTGGTTCAGAGTTGGATGAAAGAAGAACTACGCTATAGGACCCACCGCCAATCTATTGATGTGCGTAAGAGATATCTAACATGTAAACTTCATTTCCAGACCTATGTTCATAGGACTTTTTGATTTTTCATGAGAAAGCATCCTGAATTTGTCCATGTAATTTTGAAACATTGTGTAACTTAATATTCCTTAATATTAATATACAGGTTTATTAAGAATATAGAACAAAGCAATACTAAAATATGTTTTATACAGTTTAAAGCTTAGCTCATAATTTAGCTGATTTAGTTGGTTAGTTCTATAAACTATTTGATGTTATATAAAAATTTTTTTTTTTTCAGAAGTTACTGCTGTTTGATTACACTAGTGGAAAACAATTAAGGACAGGAGATATAATAGAAGACTTATTAAAAAAAGATTCTTTAATTTCAGGACAATCATTAGTTCTAGAATATAAATCACCAGAATCATCAGAACTGCAGATTTTGGATTGATGGTGATATAATTTAAAATTATAGATATATTTATTAATAAAGAAATAAGTAATTTTTATATCTGACCTTACCATTACAATCAACGGCAACTTATAATATTGAGCAAGTGTTTATTTTTGATATTTGTTTAAAATTAATGTATAAATCTTTGTGGTTTTAATACCAAAAATTTGGTTTGTTTCAATAGTTGTAATAAAAATATTAAATAATATAAGTATAATGGTTATAAAACTCTTTTCAAGCTAGTTAGAAGTTATCTTATGCTTATCTCCATTCTCCATACAAATTAAAACTTTTCCTTTCTTCTTCTGAACATGTTGATGGTTAAGTCATAAATAGTTACTAGAGAATGCTTTAAAATCCTGTCAACCGTTCTAAGATAGAACAGAGAATTTTTTTGCAATGTTCCAAAATGAATTCTAATATGTTATTAATTGTGGTCTTTGAGATAGTCATAGTATTGATATATTGGCTCTACCTCCAAATATCTGCTGAATTTGTCCAATTAGAGAATATCTCAAAAGGCACAGTCATACACACAGTGATCTCATGCCACTCTGCAGGTACTATTACTAGACTCAATATTGTGTTAAGTTTTTTAAACAGTAATTATTTTATAATGGATTGTGTGCTATATAATACAACTAATAAATGCTAATGTTATTTTTATATTGTTTTATAACTGAAATCTTTGTTTTTACATAATCATTGATAATTGTAAATTATGTTTGTCTAATAATTTTTTATTTGGCATACATAAGAAAACAAATAAGCATTTGGTTTTATCATCAGTTTTAAAGTCAAATCAAAGTTGCAAACGTTTGCACCCCCATTCTAAATATAATGAATTATTTTAGAGTATTGATATCATTAAATTTTTGTGATAACTTAACCAGTTATTTACATTTTTGGGCTTAGCACACCGGTGAATATGATATAAAATAAATTTAGATACAAAATTATTTAATTTACAATAAAATAAAAATTTTTACAATGATTGAATCTAAAATATATACAATATACCCAAAATGCATTTCGGGCATAACATCATATTTTGTAATAATTTTCTATGATATTCACTGGTGTGATAAGTCCTAAAAGTTAAATAACTAGTTAGTTACATTAAATTTTTGTGATAACTTAAGGCAAAGCAATGAACAATATATTGATCATTATTTAATTAAAATCTTCCTTGAACCACATAAGTAATCCAATGAAACAATTGCTATTGCTTTACGATACCACTTTACAAAACACATTTTGGACCTTTAGTCCATCATCAGTTGCAAAGTAGAATCTGTACAATGTTTTTTTTTTAATTTTAAAATTTTACACATCACAAGTATACTAAGTTGAATTTTAAATTAAAAAATCATTGGGTAAATTCTGCTTTTCAATTGATTAGGAATTCATCTTGTAGAATGGTATCAAAAACATAAAAGTAATCCAAAAAAGGAATTGCTGTGCAGTTTGTTTTGGGAAGAAAATAAATGGTTATTTGATTGTTAATTAATTAAAAATGTATAAGATAAAAATTAATTTTTGTCGTTTACAAATAAAAAAATTTCAATGATTTGTTACCTTAATGATATGAAATTCATTCATTCTTCCTACTATTGATTAGTTGTGATCAACCTCTATCAAATCATATTTTATTATGGTATTAACAATTTACACCAATTAATTTGGCTAACAAAAATTCAAGTGATATTTATCATTAATTTTACAAGTATATATTTCAACATTAACAAAAAAGAATAAATAAATAAAACTTGATGTGATAAATACCACATTTACAAATACAGTACTAACAAATATTCAAACACTAAAGGTTCAAATATACGTTTTTGACATTCAACTAAGCAAATTTCATAATGGTCTTAAAGATCTCTAAGACAATGTTACAATCAGATTTGGCTGGCATAGCCACACTACAATTCATAAAGTAACTTACTTCTGTTTTATTTTCATTAGTATTTGTAAATGTTTGATTTTTGGATCATCAACCTGACAAAGGTCATTAAATATAATCAAAACATTAGTTGTTTCCAGCCCCTTGTTGAACCTATAAATTTCCACTATCGTCTGTCCATCTTTCCTTAATTTTGAAAATGGTGTTAAATAAATGAATGTTTAAGTATTATGTTATTTCAATTCAAAAATTTTCCCCTGAAAGGAGTTAGATAGATGACTGGCATGACTATTGTTAAAAGAAAGGTATGATGTACAGGGGCAAGCCACTACTAATTTGAGGTGAAGAGAATATATTTTAAATTAAATAAATTAATTATAAAAGAGCTTCTTGTCTCAAAACTTGTTGAAATTAATATCTCAAATATTATAGTAGAGATAACAGACTTATACTACTACTGGTAACATCAAAATGACACTTCTATCAGAATGCAACTTTATTACTGGTATGCATTTTGGTACACGAGACCCTCATCCGCCATACATAAAAATATATAGCTATCTGTTGTGGAACAAATTTGCAGAGAAATTCAAATTAATTACAATCTACAATTTAAAACAGATTTATTCCCACCCACACTGCACAGTACCATGAGGATTGCATTATAAACAGGCCTATGATGTCTAAGAAAATACCTTCCACTGGAGTTGGCAAAAAAAAAAAAAAAAAGATTACAAATTGCAGACTGGCATTGTGATGATATCACAAATAATTTATCGTTAGTGATTACTTTCTTTTAAATCTGATTCACCATTTTTATACTTGCTAATATAGAAAATAATTGACCAGAAAGCCATGAAGTAGGTATATTGGATTTACAGTATTTGGGATATTTTTTTACCAATATGCATGTAACAGATAATGTGAGTTTATAACAGCATGTACTAATGATGTCAATAAAAACAATTCTTTTTAATTCTTTTAATCATTATTAATTTATATACCCAAAGGCAAAAGTCCTTTCCTACTGTCCACTTTAGGTAATAATACTGTCACAAGATAGCCAGCAGCCTTTTTTCCCATTTTTGACTGTCCTGTTCACACTAATGTGAGTTCAACCAAGTCAACAGTGAGACAGGTAACCATATGGTAAAGGATGGGAGCTGATATCTGAGAAACTCTTGAAAATTCCTAAGGTGCTTACCAGTATTCATTCTTGGTCCCCAGAGGAGTAGACTGATGCCTTCATCTGTTAAAATGGTTTCAAAGCTGGGTTTGAGTGGCTATATAAGACAAGTTAGCATGGAAAATTCAAATTAGGACATTCTCCTTTATTTTATATCCATGCTAGATAATCTTACTGAGCTCAAGTTTTCCCAAAATCATAATAATTTCATTATATCTAGATAAATTGGTTTTTATATGAAAAGGAATGAAATTCCAGAAAATTAAGAACAATTTAATAACCATAATTATGGAAAAAATCAAATGAATTGGAAATGTTAAATGTAATGGACATTTTCAATTAGTCTGCCTGAAAAAATTTAGGATGTGGATGTTATGGTCAAAGTTTGATGCAGTAATCATCTTAGCACTATCAAATGCATAGTAGTAAAGCCCATAGTTTTGATTTTAGGCATTTGTCCATTTCACAGCTTACAATCTTAGGTTTTCCCAAAATGTATTGGGCAATCTACAGATTATATTATTCTCTGCAGGCAAACTGCAGTTTGCATTTTATACACTTTATGTCATTATCCAAAATCTGGACAACCAAAGTTCTAATGTATTTTCTCCACTATTGTAAACTTCTATACTATAGTACTGTAAACATCTGTAAAATTAATTTTTATTTGACTTCAGAAATGTATGTGTTAGAAATTGAAGTTTTTAGAAAATTACACAGAATTCCAGAAAAACAAATTAACCAACTGAAAATTGTCATCTATTTTTTGGAAATTTGGCTATTTGAATTATCAGTATATGTTAACTTGATTTGTTATTACAAAGGAAAAAATTATTTTCTTAATAAATATGTTATATAATTTTACTCTGAATTTTTTTTATACATAATTAACAATGAGAAATTTTAATTACAACATCATTGCTGACTTACAAATGTTTGCAGCTCATTTTAAATCACATCTCCACATAATTATTATTACAAAAGATTTCAAAACAATTGTATAAAAGCTATTTAATATATTGATTGCTGCAACTATTCCAGATAAACTAGTTTCCCATTTATAACATGGACAAACATTCAATCTCTCTCAAGTGTCATATGCTTTAATTCTTTACTAAGAGAATATGCTAATTTTGAAGAGCCGGCACACAAAACTCTTCGAGCCATTATGTCAATGGGACCACCTAAAAACAGATATTTTTAATGAGAAAATAATTTACATAAAAGTTTTCACTATACTCAAATTTTATTTAATACCTTCTGTATCAATGACTGTTCCTCCCGCTTCTTGCACAATTATGGTTCCAGCAGCAATGTCCCAGCAATGTAAACCAAATTCATAATAGGCATCGGCTTCCCCGGATGCAATTGCACACATGTTAAGAGCTCCCGAACCTGAAGCTCTGAAACTACATTTATAATTTCCATTAAATAATTATTTATATTTTCGTAGGAAAATAAAGATTTTTTTAAAAATCTCACCTGTGTACTTTATTAATTAAATGTCTCATATTTGCAAAGACTAATTCAATTTTTTCTGGATTTCGACTACTGCCCATTTCTGATACCAGAAGTGACTGATCTAGCTCTAGAAAAAGTGAATATTTCAATACTTAATAAATTTTCCAAAATCAGAATAATATACAAGGTCTGTCCGGAAAGTGTAAAAACTTTTAAATTACACACAAACCGAGAACTGAAATCAGAATAGAGCTTGCACAGCTCTAATGGCAAGTTTTTCGTACTGTAGTGGTTCTACTACTGTTTAATTTTGTCACCGTGCATAAGAGAAGTGTTATAACCTTTGTTTCATTCAAACAACTAGTTTATTGTCTTCCTCACAAATATTGTACAAGTCTCATTGTTGTGGCTAACAAACTACTTGTGGTGCTCACTAGGTGTGTTTGGACTCATTCTAGGAAGTGATGACACATACCACAAAGGGTTCATTGCCTGTTTTCACAATGGTTAAGATGGTGAAGGTAACATTCATCACAGTACTATCTGCCAACAGCAGTTTATTCTATCTTCATTTGTTGTTACATTATATTGATTTGCATAAACATATCTTGATTGCATCTTGCAATTTTTTTCCATGAGTACAATTGAGTGAAGAGTTCTGGGATGGGCTAACCTGATAAAAATTTCACAAAAAACATCATCACTGGGTATGAGACAGACTTATGGATGTGATGTGAAAACCGAATGTCAGTTATCTCGGTAGGAAAACATTTACTGTGACCCAAAAGGCACGACAAGTTTGGTCGAATGTGGAGGTCTTGCTTGCTGTTTTGTTCTGGAAGAAATTCCTGGTGTCATTCACCAGGAATTTCTTCCAGAAGGGGAAATAGTAAATAAGGAATACACTCTGGAGGTGATGAAATGTTTTTGTGAAGCAGTGAAGAAGAAAAAACTGCTTGGAGAGAACAGCATCATGACAATGCTCCCGTCTACACAACACTGCTGATAATGCAGTTTTTGGCCAAGAACTTTATGACACTTGTTATCCAACCTCCAAATTCACTGGACTTAAACCCCAGCAGGCTTCTTTTGTTTCCTAAATTAAAATCTGCTCTCAAATGTTGCTATTGAACCCATTGATGCCATTAAGGAAAATTTGCTAGTGGAGCTATGCATCATCCTATCAAACAAAGTGTTTCAGGAAGCATTCTTTTCATGGCAGAAATGCTGAATTCTGTACATAGACTCAGGACTACTTCAAAAGTGACAAAATTGACTAGCTTATAGATAAATGAAAACAACTATTTGCAAAATTTGCAAACTTTCTGGACAGACCTTGTATAAATGTATCAATCTAACAAATTCTTCTAATCACATCTTAATTTATAAAAAAAAAATTTTTAATAGTTTAACTATTTGTAAGTATTCTGTGTTAAATTCTTTTTTTGAATTAGTTTCTTTTAATAAAATCATAATTAAACCATAAATTATATATTAATTTATTATAATTACTGTACATCAACTTATTACTATTACTACTGTTTTCAAAAACATTATTTATAGATATCTTTAATTTCTAAAAACATTTCTAAAACTTTCAGGACATTCCAATTTTCAATGCTGACTCAGCACTGATCTCAATATTCGTTAAAATTTGTTCCTTTTTTCAATGTTGAGGTAGCGCTGTTGTCAGTGCTGACTCAATGCACTCAGCACTCAACAGATATGTTGACTGCTACTTTCCAATGAATTGTGGGTAATTGGTAAGACATTTGAATGGAATCCATCTTGCTGAGAATGGAATTACAGGAACTAAGCACTTTGTACTCGAGTTGGAACGTCGTTGATGACGTCAAATTGTTGACTTCAACACTCAAGACTCGTATTGAAAATTGGAATGTCCTGTTTGTTTTGAACATTGTAGAAATGTGAAACAGAAAATTTACACACACAAAATCATTACACAAATTTAAAAAATAAATATAAGGATACAATTCACATTGTCTGACAAGGGAAACCTGAAAAGTTGTCATCATCGATTTCGACAAAATTTTGCAGATGTATTTACTTGTAATTAAACCCCACCAAAGCCACAGGACCCACTATTCAGGAATTTGAGAGAATTGTAATTAAAGTTTTTCTAGAACTATTAATACCTACACAGAAGTGCCATTCACGTGTTCATAGTGTGATTAGCTAAGGCTTTGCTTGAAGAGTGTTAATATGCAGGCTTGAATCCTGTATGAGCCTTTTTTTTACATTTATAATTTAGTTTATCTTACTGTTATTAAATCTGTTATGAACAATTTTCATGCCATTTTTAATTACTGAATTTTTAATTTATTCTTTATAAAAAATCGGGGAATTTAAAAATTATTTTACAACAATTAAAGTTTTTGGCACAAAAATATACATGCAATAAATACTTACAACTACTGTTTCACGAGAATATGACAGCATTTTGGAGTGGTATTTATCATAAAAACAGTTAAAACATAATGATTAGGTGCACCACACACAATCATTGCTACTTCATTTGCACAATCTTTACATTTTGTTTTAATAACAGAGGGTGGAAAACAAACTTCATTAATGTTTTTGAAAATATTTCTTTTGCATGTTATTTGAGACTCAAACAATGCATATTTTAACATGTCACAAAAAAGTGGTTGTAAATTAGAGTTATTAATAGCATCTTTAAGATTAGCTATTTCTCTGTCAGTTTTAAGGAGCTAGTTACAGTGCACTGGTGCTCATTAATGCCATAGGAATATCCATCTCACACAAACCAAACACAGTAAACAAAATAGTCTTCTATAAAAATTTGTCTGGTGTGCTTAATCTTTTTTATTTATACTGTCCATCATTGGGGTCACTGGTGAACAAAAAGAGAATCCTAGCAATCAACTTTGGTCACTTCCCTTTCTACATCAAATGGACCCACCCAATGAACTCTAGCAGCACCCTTACCTCTCTGGTAAAACTGAACCATACAGGCAAAAGGCATAATCTTAGTCTAGTTTTCTTTCCTGATTAGATTATATAATATAATAGTAGGTAGATAGGGCTAAAGTATATATATATATATATATATATAATATTTTTTGCTGGATAAAGTACAGATGGTGTTGAGTTGCTTATTATAATATATTCCTATCCTTATACCTATCCTTATGTGAGAAGCCAAAGGGGTAGATGAATATCGATTTAAACCCCTTTGATCAGTGATGGTCTGGTAAAGACCACTCAATTGTCACTGGATGACAAAATCTATAAATTGTCGGGATTGTCAGGACCTGACACCAGATACAATAATAAAAGTTCCGTGTCCTAACTTGCAAATCATAAATAAATAGATAAAAATAAATTTGAGTAGGAGGGCTAGTTCAACTGTTGCAATAGGTGCAAACAAACAACATTATACTAGTCACTAGTCTATTGAATGCAGTATGAATTTGGCGTTAGCCTTGGCCCTTGGCATCGGAATTTTGAAGTGAAGGGGGTAATACTATGTTGAAGGGGGTGATGATTTGTTAGAGGTTGAGAAACACTGTACTATATGGAATGCTGTCATAAGAAACAATTTATGATTTAAATCAATATACTTTGATAATAATTATATGTTCACAAATGTAATTAATTATTTAATAAATTGTAACTTAAGCATTGTGTGTACTGTAGTTTTATAATATTAGTTTGTGTGTCATACCATAATAAAATGGTTAAATACTGTAGTTATACATCATATAAGTTATATATGAAATAAATAATAATTAACTGTACAGAGTATCTTGATTACATGTTACAATTTACACCATAAATTATATATTTTCTCTAACAATGCCTCATGTAAGATACATATACATTATGCATGGAAGCATTCTCTGGTGTATTACTTTTCAATAGCCTTTCATATACTATCATGACAGGCAGTAAATGTTATTTGATATGTCTGATATTAATACTTTTCAAATAATTCATCAATTGTTGATTTGCATAATATATCAACTATAATTGCTGAATTTATATATATAGCAGATCATCTGTAATTTGATAATAATAAATACAGTTGGTTATGTATATTTAAAAGAATGTAATAAAGAAAATTTAATATATAAAATTTTTTATAATAAATATGTAATTTTTTTACAGTTAACTTTGTTTTTATAGTATTCAAATAAACAAAAGATGAATTCTTACCTGTCTGTCCAGAAGCTTGCAATCTAATACCATTACAAAATGCACCATTTCCCTTTCTTGCTTCATACAATCTTTTCAATAATGGATTATAAATAACACCAACAACCACCTAAAAATTATTTCATTAGGATTTTTAATGATAATAGTTTTTATCAGAAAATTAAAAATTAATTTTACCTCTTTGTTAACAGCCAAACCAATTGAAACTGCTACAAAAGGATATCTACATTAAAAAGAAAAAAGAAAATATTTAATATATTAATGCAAAATTTATATATTTCCAATTATAAATTTTGAAAACTTATCATCTGACAACAACATAAGTTAATATGTTCTAAGATATACACAGGAAGTGACTTTAAAACCTCTCTCACCTAACTGCAAAACATTTAATAGCATACAGAGGATCATGCTAAATTTTTATTATTAAGAATATCTGAAACTTCTCATTTGAAAAGTTTTTATATATGATGAAAAAGTTCTCTTAAATCATAAAATTGCTTACTTATAAATATGTAACAACATACAAAAGAGGAAGGGAAAAAAATATTTAAATTGAGTATCCTGAATAATTTTCTATTAAAGTATCTTTTTAATTTATAAATTTTGTCATAATAATTTGGTAATTGCAAACTATATCATTAGAATCATCCTTGGAAAAAAATTATAGTGAAAATAAAATACCTAGAACCTCATCTAGTTTTGTGAAATAAATAGTTGACAAAATTATGTATTATTCTCATATCATGTATGAACTTCCTTTCTAAAAAATATACATACATCCACCAATGTAATGTATAAATTCCACTGTATCTTATACTGTATGTAAAAATGCATTTCTGAATTATAGTTAAGTAATAAACTTAGTTACAAGAACACTTCAAAACTGTAATCCAGTTTGGTTTATAACTAGATTATGGTTTTGAAGTTTTCTTATATTGCATACATACAGTTTAGGTTAGTATTTATAAACTTAGCTACTTTATAGGTACTGACTTCACCAATTTTCTTTCGGGCAGTAAGGAGGCAGACCTTTTTTTATATGCCCATTATCAGTTCAACGAAGACCATAAACAGGTGGCCAGATGATGAGAGGCCCAACATACCTGGGACAAACCACTCCATCTGTGAAAAATTCCTGGTGTTCACTTGCTGGAATAACAGACTGATTCCTTTATCACCTCAACTAGCCACTAACTAAATGCATAAAATGATATTTTATGTATCACAATAACTGCTTAAATGACAACTCTCAAACACAAATCACATAAAAAATGGGCATCAGGTAAACAACATCAAATGCAGAACATAATAAAATTCATTAAATAGAACAAATTCAAATAAACTTTCCAGTAACAGAACATACAAATGCTATTGACGAAAAAATTTTTGAATGAGTAAAGTCTGTTGGGATTTTAACTGGTCTAGGTATTTGAATATCAATTTTTTTGCAAACAAGCCAGTAAAGCATATATAAGTGAGCTCCAATAAAGCAGAACTTTAAATGAATGTAATGATAGCTTTTTAAGACAACCAAACTTTGAGAAAAACATTCTCAGGCTTTATATTCAGCTCCTTAATTTTAGAAATGAATGTAAGATTTGAAAGGTATTCTTGAAGGAATTTAAAATTGGAAATGTAATATAAGATCCTTCAAATTAACAAAAAGTTTGGTTGTCTTAAAAAGCTGTCTTTATTGCATTTATTTATACATGTAACAAGTTTCATAGAAGCAGTCTTAGGTTTATTAATTTTAAAGATCACAATTTTATATGACTAATTATACAAGAATAAATATCTAAAATATTCTAAATAAAAAAGATTATTAATTTGTGTTTTATAATTTACAATTATACAATTATAAAGAAATAAACTGAAAATGATAACAAATGTATTTATTACGTGTGAATAAAATTCATTGTTCCATCAACTGGATCAATTATCCAAGTGGGAGCATCTGTAAAATCACAGGGAATTCCCTTTTCTTTTGATTCTTCTCCTATAAATCTGTCACAACAATAACAGTATTAATTACAAATGGATTATGAACATTCATTAAATATAAATATGAACATTTACTTATGTGAAGGATATTTCTCTTGTAGTGATTTCCTGAGAAAATTCTCCACTTCTTTATCTGTTTCTGTAACGAAATCTACAGTACAGGATTTTGTCTGTATTCTTTTAGAGTTATGAACAGATTCAGCTATCATCTACAAAAATATAAAATTTATGATTAGAGATTCTTAATTTATTACTACGAAAAGCTTAAATCATTTAAAAATTAAGTAATATTTAAAGTTAAAATATAATTTCTTATATATTATTATCTGTAATAGATATTTATAAGGATTGTTAATATTTCTTTAACACATTTTCTTCAAGGAGGGAGGGGAACTTGTAATCCTAATAAAACTGTCTACTTAAAATTATAGAAAGAAAACACTATTGCTTTATAGTAGTTTAATTAACCAATATGAGACAATTCGCATCACAACTAAAGATTCATTTAACTTAAACTTGGTATTTTTGTTTCTTCTCAATCTTCCAATTTTATCATCTTAACAGAAAACAACAACTTCAGATATTTAGTTTCAACAATCTATTAGTTTCTTGATGACTTGTGATAGTGATAGAACACTTTGTTATAAACAAACAAGAAAAGTAAAAATAACCAAAACAACCAATATTAATTAGCTTTACAAAACACTAAAATTATTAACAATGCTCTTTTAGTATGTAAAGGATATTTTAAGATATCTTTATAGTTTCTTTCATCTATATTTTCAAGTTAATGCATTTAAAAAGCAATATTTAGAAAAAATTCCTATACTAATTTTCCCATAAGAACTGAAATCAGTCCAAGACCAGAACTTCCTTGTGAAATAAGAAATGTTTTGACAAGATAAACATTATTTCGGACTGATCTTGGTTCTTACAGGAATATTAGCATATTAAGTGCTACAATGCAGTTCTAGGATTAATTATTTTGATATATTTCATAATTTCATTAAAGTATGATGATTTAAACATTGTTTCTTTTAAATAAGGAATATGTGTTTATACAGAATAAGAAAAAATATCTTTTATGTACTTCATTCTACTTTAATAATATAAAGCTATTGGAAGGTTTCATAATCTTATTAAGCAAATATTTCCTTGCATACTCTTCTATGTCATCGCATCTAGAGAATTTTGAATCACATTAAATCTTATAATGAATATTAATTTCATAAATTCTAATAATCTCCAATTCTTTTAACATGTAAAAGAATGTATTTTAATAACTTTTTTGTACAATAAAAAACATAAAAATGTATGAAGTTTATAGCCAGATATTGCACTTCTACAGTTATTCTTAATTTTAAGACACAATATCTATACAGTATTTAGAAGATGAAATAAAACTATAAAACAAAAATATACAATTCAAACTTTACTATCAAAACAAAAACGCGAAGCTAAACTCACTCTTAGATTATACGCTTATCATTGAGAGAATGATGAGAAAAAGATTGAGAAGAAGAAAAACATTACTATTAACCATCAGAATAAATAAGCAAAACAACCTTGTAGCAGTTTTTCCTATATTTCACGAATAAATATAGGAAAAACTTTCATAATTAATTATGTTAATTAATAAATTGTACAAATGAAAATATTGTGCTCTGAAATCTTTGTTACAATAAATCTGTATTGTAAACATAATATTTCAACTCTTCAGGCTTTAAAAATTTAAATTCATTGATTCATTAAAGAGAATACAATACTTAATCTTAATTTAAGATATGTTATCATTTACAAAAATGATAAAAGATATTGTAATTGTATAAAATTAAATCAATATTTGGAAAATTATTTAAAATTATGTACAGTATACAGTGAATAATTTTACTTTATTATTTACAATTCAAGAATTTGAAAGTTTAAATTTTATTTAACAAGTTTAAATGCTTTATTATAATGATAAAAGAAAAAATTTATAGCAAAATTAACAAAAAACTAAACCGGAAAATGTATAACTAATTATTTGTGTGTTATTTTATGCATATTTTCATCCTTTTCTATACAAGTATATTAGATAAGCATTCTAATAAGTAATCATACTTTAAACTGAATAAGAGTTTGTGTGTAAGAATACTTAAAAAATCATTTTATACTCCTTATAGAAATCATACAAAAAATAATAATCAGTTATATATGAAGGGTTTGGGTGTAAAAGATGGTAATGCATAACAGTGCACTGTGAACTATATTGATGTTGTTCTTCCTAATATATTGTGAATAGACATTTTAAATTAATTTGAAATAAATTATATATTAATTGATTTTCATAAAATATTGAAAATTAATTCTGGATTGGATTGATTGTGTATGGCAACAACAGATGGTAAATTTGTGAGGGGGGGATGCTCCCAGAAAGTCTTTCTATTAGAGGGAACCTGTTCCATTCAGATAGTACAATTGTGAAGAAAATAGAAAATTCCACATGGCCAGCCCATTGGCAAATAAAACCCCATGAATCCATGGGGTTTTATTCACTCAACAAATTAATTCTGCTTGTTGTCTTTCCAATGAGTAGTATAAAAATAATATATCTGACATTTTGGAAATGTCATATTATGGTCTATATAATTTAACCTACATTTTAAATTACATTACATTTATAAAAAATATAAAGAATCATAATTACTGTTTATTTCATATATTTGAATATTTCAGGTATTCTCCAGAAATTTTTTTAAATATTAGTTTTATATAAATACTATTTAAGGTAACAAGGGAACAATAACTTCATACTACTATTAATTTTAACACAGATCTTTATCAATAACCTATATCATTTTATTTAAAATGATATAGGTTATTGATAATTCAAATTTTAAATAAAATGATACAGATTTCTTGATAAAAGGTATTAATAAATGCTATAAGTAATTCTTGAAAACATTTTCTTTCTATCTTAATATAAATATTTTGTAAAGAATAACAACATACAGATTTACTGTACAGTAATTTGTACAATATTGTACAAAAATTTTGTATATTATTATACAATGCTTTTATACAATTGCAAAAGCATTGTATAAAAACTAAATTTTTTCAATAAAACTGCATCCTAAACTTCTTTTTGTCATATTGTTTAGATAACATACTTATCTCTCTACTTATCCTTTATTTCCAATTTCAAACTATTTACTTTACTAAAGTACTGCTAGTAATTTTAGTATCAATTGGCTTAATATTACTATTTATTAGTTCCAGTTATTAATGAATTCAGATCAAATACTTCACATAACAAAGCAACATGTTTTACTATAGCCTACTGTATATGCTATGCTAATGATATTATGTAATATAAGAGGAGAATAAAAAACTGTTCCCAGCATTAACATCAACAGTTATAGTTTCAACTTAACTAAAAAGGTGCATTCATTTTGTCAGAATAGTACAGGTATACCTCAACTTATGTTGTTTTGAGTTACGTCGTTCCCGATTATACGTCGTTTGTCAAAAAAGTATATGGAAAAATAAAAATCAAGTTTAAGTCATTTTATTCGACTTTACGTCTGTCCGCCACAAATATTGAAGTCGTAATATCACTAGATAAACGTTTAAAGCACATAAAATCATATTAAAATATATACATTTACAAGTATGTACTGTATTTACAGTACATGTATTTGTAAATTTAAATTAGTTTTTTCTGTACTATAATAAAAACTAAAATTTATTTGTTTGTAAGCTTAAAATAGATCCTTATTAACCATATATTATTAAAAATGCATTAATAAATAAAATACAGAACCGGGAATCATAATTTATGGTTTAGCCTAGTGACAAGTAGATTCGCAGACAAGTAAATTCAACTTATGTTGTTTTTCGACTTACGTCGCCTCTCCTGGAACCAATTACCAATGTAAGGTGAGGTATACCTGTATATATGTTTACATCAGTCTGATATTATTCCTAATCATTTCATAATGGGAAAGTGTGTTTTGTCAAGTTACAGCAATGCAACACTTTGGCAATGCCTTCCAGGAGGTCTTTTTAAGGATAACTGGCCCTCATTTAGGCATTACAGCTGTGAAGAAAATCTGGAAAACTCCACATAGCCAGCCCATTCTGGTGAGGCGTAAACCCACGACCAAACTCCCAGTGTTTTGTGAATAGAACCGCTTGGCCACTGGTGGGCCAGGAAAGCATGTAATATGATTACGTCAATTTTATATCATTTTACATAAATTCTGGCAAACATGCTCTAGACCAATGTTTCTCAACCTCTAACGAATCATCGCCCCCTTCAATAAAACCGTTACGTAGTATCGCCCCTTCAATAAAACCGTTACGTAGTATTGCCCCCTTCACTACAAAATTTCGATACCGAGGGACAAGGCTAATGCCAAATTCGTACTGCATTGAATATAGTGACTAGTATAATGTTATTTGTTTAATTATTGTATGATATAACGAATAAAATATCTATTTATTCTTAATATAATGTTTTACTATAGCGCCCAGAAAATTGTTTTTCGCCCCCAAAATATAAATTGTTACTAACCGCCCCCTCAACATGGAAAAACGCCCACATGGGGGCGATATCGCCCCCATTGAGAAACACTGCTCTGGACTCTTAACTAAAGCAATTTCCTAATTTTGTCATACCTCAAGTAGTAGGAGTCAACTGAAAACATTAATAAATTGAAATCATCATATAATATAATAATAAGAAGATATTTTCAATAAGTAAAATAAAGAAATTCAATTATTCTGAAGTTACATCAAATAATTTCCTATAGATTATTATTAAAATTCATAAATTTTCTATACATAATGAAAAAAATTATTATATCTATGGTTTATGATTAAAAAACAAATTCTGTTTCCAAAGATAACTTTCTATAATTATTATTTATTGCACTTTTTAATTATTATAGCAGAGCATGTTTTAATAAATCGACCATTTAACCCAGTGGTTCTCAACCTTTCCAAGGCTGCAGAACACCACGCAAATACTTTTTATTACACAGAGCATTAGCAACAATACATGCAAAACTTGATAAGCAATTCCACGTTTACTATTCTCGGAAAACAACGAAGCAATAAACTAATAAACTTTAATATATTGAATAAAATAGAAACATGGAATTATCTATGAATATAGAAATGTGAATAAATTCGAATTAAAACTTTAAAATCTTTTCTTTCGTGGAACACTTGAGATAGGTTTTTGGAACACCAGTTAAGAACCACCAATTTAACCACAAGGTAATTTTGAGTTGCCATCTCATCTCCTATCGGCCAGTCAGGCACAAGCTTCTAGGATATATCGCCCCATGATAAAGTGTGACGTAATTGTCATGTAATAGTAGTTGTATGTGTTTACGACGGTCATTACATGGGGAATAATGCCTTCCAAGAGATCTTTTAAGGGTAACCGGCCCCTATTCGTGCGTTACAGTTGTGGAGAAAACCCGGAAAACTCCACATAGCCAGCCCAGTTGGGCGAGGCACAAACCCACAACTGAACTCCCAGTGTTCGGGGGACAAAACTGCTCGGCCACCGGTGGACCTAACACAAAACTTCCTCATGTCCCTCCAAATTAAGTCATGTTTTTTAACACAGAAAAATAATATAAGAAGGAAAAAGAAAAGGCATTTCTTACATTATTTAGAATTTTATAATTGATTTTTCTGTTATTATTTCTTCAATGTTGATAAATGTATTGAAAGGAAATTGATCACACCCACCTGTCCAGCCTTTTCTGCTAAGGCTAATGCAGTCTTGTAACAATCATCTAAATTCACTTCTTCCGACATCTTCAATTATTTTCTCTAAATTTTAACTTTTCCAAGGATCTGCTATCGAATGACGTCGAATATCGAATATCAATCGGTTCAAAGAACAAGCACCACAAGTAATCGTGATAACGGGTTATGTGTGTTACAGAACAATCCACAGACGAAAATATGTCAATTTCAGCAGATGGCGCTATCTTCGCTTTTCTTAATTTACATTTTTTTTTTTTTTTTTTTTTTTTTTTTTTTTTTTTTTTTTTTTTTTTTTTTATACAGTTTAAAATATCATTTTTTTTCCTATTTAAATAATAAACGATGTACAATTTTAATTAATGCATAGCTCGTTGTTTCCGAGACGGTCCTATTACCTGACGTAATTGATTAATTAATGCCAGACGTCACAATGCTGGGTCTGCTCGATTGGTTGGAATTTTTATGTCATTTTGACGTAGTACTGAAGTTTTACAATGAAAAATTTTAAAGAGTGACGTTAAACAGACTTTCCGCATTCATATCCCTCGTTGTGAGGAATTTTTTGCCCTCGTATAGGTAAACATAAATGAAAATAGTCTACAGATATATATATAGTAACTTATTTTAAAGGTATTGCTATATTTGATCTTTGTTACTATACATAATTCCTAACTCAGAATGCCCGTTTATTTACATACTTTACTAAATTTCACACTCTATGCCAAAGGGCCAAGCGTTAAAAGGTATCAGTCTACTGCACTGAAGGACCCGGAAACAAATCTTGGCAGTTGACAAGCCTCAGGAATTTTTCAGAGTGTGATCCATCCCAAATACAGTATATAGAGTCCCGGCTGCTCCAGTGTATCTGAGGTTCCCAGAGCATTACGCTCCCATCTTAATCGCTTGGCCATCTGCCTTACAAGGCCGGACATCTTCAATGATCATTCAAACTATGAATGCCATAACAAATGTTTCCTGCTCATCATTATAATCAGAAACCAATTTCAAATCCTGACGCTCTTCTATCTGAAAAATCTAGCAGCGATTTGCTTAAAGTTCCGGCAACATTTGACGGCGTTATCTATCCCCATTATCTCCCCATCCCTCGACCTTTAATCGCTAAAATTTAATAGCATCAATTCTCCTAATACACAAACCTCCCTGCAAAATTTCAGAAATTTTGGACCAAAAGCACAGGAGTATTAAGCTTCAAAGAGAGTGAACAAAATCGTGCACCCCACACATATACACAAACATCCATACATACAGAAAAAAACACCTGGATTATTTTGCATTTCTCGACGTTTCTAGGTGTCCTCAATACAAAAATGGGGGGGGGTGATTTTTTGACCGATCGCAACACTTTTCCTCTGTTAATAATTTCTTAATTAATTGACTTAAACTGTCTTTCTATGTCAAGTTTAGACAAAATATTTTATAATTATTTAAGAAGGAAGTAAAAGTCTGTAAAGCGGAAGTCATCCTATAAGTGCAAAAGATAAATTCACTTTCTTAATATTCAGGTAAAATATTTTATTTTCAGGTAAAGATATTATTACCAGGATCTGGTGAAATGGAGAATGGCACCTCTGCCTCTATTAAATGCCACAAATGTCCTACGACGATAAGACAACGTTGCGAGACCATACCACTACTGGATTAAACATGAAATACATATTTATACTTACATTCAGGTGCAATGGTAAGTAAGGGCTTTTTTTTTCAGATAACGGTGGATTTGTCCTCGAATACCTTTCATTGCCGAGAACCGATCGATAAAATGAATTAACGATTTAATTTATAAAAAGGGAGAAAAAACTAAATTTAAGAACTGCATCGAAGGTTCCTAATCCCGAGAATTTCCAGGTTATTTGAAAATTGTTCTTTTGAGTATCGGGAAAAAATAGCTCTAGACTCGAGACTTTTATAATGTCAAATTTATAAATCTAAAACAGAAAATTACCTTGATTATCCTGTTTTTAATTGTGTGCTACGAAAAATGACGTTAAAACATGGTGAAACCTCGCTTTAGCGCCACTATTTGTTCATCTCTGAAGTTGACCAAAATCGAGATTGGCATTAAACTGAAGAACTTCAAACAATTAAAATTATGCATAATGATGATGAGATTTAAACATGCTTTTGAGTTTCAGTGTGTAAAAATCACTCGATTTGATGATAGCAATGCATGTTGAAATACAAAATTAGAATTTACTCGTAGTAATTGTAGACACGAACAGGGGTCGGTTCTAGGTTTTTCAAGGCCTAGGGCTTATTGAAGTCTAATTGGACCCTATTTTTTGTTAGATTAAGAATTATTATAATAAAATAAATATTACTATAAATTATTATTATTATATTATTAATATTAACTATTTTTTACTATACAACAAGTACTTATTGTTAATGAAGTATTAAAAATTTATGATAATTTAATTTTTGTAAGCCCTTGACACTTGGAGAGGCCAGGGCATAGGCCCTATTAGTCCCTATATAGATCCGTCCCTGGACATGAAGGTGTTTTGTTGCAATTATTCAAATCCCGATTGTCCTGCATGGATAAAAGTTAATGTATCCTTCTTTCACATATCATCAAATATCTCAGAAATTAAACGACACTGTATTACTATGGTTCGTGGATATATTTACACCGAAATAATTACATAAAAACTTCATCGATTCGCTTAAAACTTTGATTTTATAACATTACACCTATTTTATTTTTTCAAACACGACGTAGTGCAATCATTCGACCACTTGGCATTTTTCATCATTAATAACGCCCCTCCTCAGTCAACTAAAATTAATAAAATGCACACAAATCATAAATGCAATATACATTATAAATATCAAACTGCACACATACCTCAAAATCTGAATCACCTATTTAAACATTTGCGTGACCGGTGTATAATTTACACAAATAATCATCTTCACTTATCTAATAAACAAATATTTATCATTATTCGCGTTACTTAACTTTTAATTTAAGACACCGTTGCGTGTTGTTGCCTTAATTCTTAACTTCAATATTTGGCCTTATAGAAACGGCCTAAACGTGTGCAAGGGGAAAGAATGCCTTCCGGGAGGACTTTTATTTTATGGGTCCGCCACCTTTTCAGGCGTTATCGACATGGAAAAAACCAGGAAAACTCCATGCTGCCAGCCCGTTCGAGCGAGGCGCGAACCCACGACCGAACTCCTAGTGTTCAGGGTCTAGTCCTGTCAAGTGCGGGGAGGACGACCGCTCGCCCACTGGTATTTGGCTCTTCTTCTTTGTTTATATGGAGAATTTAGCATTTGTTGTTTCTTGTATTGCCGTTCCTATTTCAATACGCCGAACTTTTCTCATTAGCATATTCCTGCATAATAAAATATCTGATATTATTTTTTGATTATTATAGTTGAATTTATATAAAGCAATAATGTATAAATAACCTATTCTTTTTATTTTATTTCATTTCCATCTAATTTTACCTTTAATTTAATTTTTATTTTTTAATATTTCTAACCAATTTTCGTTTATTTTTATTCTTAAATTTTTCTTTATACATTTTAGTTAACTGAGGAGGGACGTTATTAAGCCCGAAACGTGTACAAATAACTTATACGTGTATCAACTGAATAAAAGTTAATGATGAAAAATGTCAAGTGGTCGAGTGATTGAACTACATCGTGTTTGAACAAAGAAAAAAAATACCGACACTGTTTCAAGAATGTTAAACATTACACCTTCATTCGCTCATGTCTTCAATTCATAGATATTGAATGGTACTTACTGTATTTGCTAACTGTTATTGTGCTAGATATGGCAATGCAACACGAAGGTGATGCACTGTTTCTACAATCAAGTTTCTCTTTCTTTTGCCACATTTTTAACTTATTTCTGTCACTGGCAGAGAAAAAGTACACACCCATTACATATCCCGAAATTGACCTTTCGGGAATATCTTTCGGGAAGAACTAATTTTGTCCCGTGTTCTATCCCAAAATATCTGGCAATTCCTAGCCGTGCACGAATTAGGAACCAAATAATAGTGTCCTCTGGTTCCACATTGATCGAGTGGCTGGAACCACTCGATTAGTGTTGAACTCGAGAAAAGTTATTCTCATAAATATAATTTTATACGCAGGTTTATCAATATCATTATCATTAGAAATATTATCGAGAATATGTAATTATTTACTAATAATAGCAATAAATTTAATAATAAAAATGATAAAGCAACAAATTAAAATTAGTGACGAAAAATTCACAAAGATAAAAGTATAAACACAAGAATATAGATGATATCGCTTAGATGAAGAAGCAATTAGAGATTTTATCGATTTATATTGATTATACTTAATAATACTTCTAAGTGACTTAGCAGAATTACTTGGTAACACGTCGAAACGTCACTCGACTAAGGCAGTCTAATACAGTGAATCTCAATTTTAAATCGATGGAATCGATAGTATTGTTCAAATGTACAATAGACTAAAACTTGAGTACAGTTATAGTAAAAATTGTAAAACATTTATAAATATATTAAAAACATTTGGAATAATTTACGATAATAGTGAAATCCGCTTTTGTAAATTAAGGAAAGCATTTATGATACTCGTGTGCATTATAACAGTTATCGATTTCGTAGACCTGCTGCTCTTTCATAGATTAAAATGGGCAAACACAGCGGAAGAAGAAATGCAGCTTTGGTATTTCATAACTAGCTTTTCATTAAGACTAAGATATATTGTTATCGTGTCAACTTTCAACGGAAAAAATGCAAGAAAAAATGCCAAGGAAATTCTCGAGAAGTTATGGATGGAAGAATCATATTCCGGATTAACTCCATACCAATTTAAGGTTATAGAATTGTCTAGGATGTTTTCATTCGTTGTTATACCAATTGTGACGTTAGTTTCTATCATTATCAGCGTACATAAGACAGTTCATATATTCGATATTAAAACGTTAATTTTCTTAATTATAACGTCTTTAATAACGTTTGTCGTACCGAATACATTTAACCTGTGCAGTTTATTGTATTACTCTTTTGTTTGTGTGTGTTTGAAATGGAAATTTGAACGCCTGTACGTAGCATCTAACTGGAAGGATGTGTACAGGATATACAAGAGACATCTTAAGCTTTGTGACATTGTAGACAAAGCAAACATCTTTATTAAGAAGTATATATTTGTTGTATTCCTTGTTTTCATACCAGAAATGTGTTTCAACTTG